ACGGGATCTAATTTGTTTCTCTTCAACCCTAGCCTGGACTGATCGTGCGTAACTGCACGTGGCGTTTTCCACAACATTTTTAGCAGCGATTGCGGACAGTTCTGAATGCAATGAGGGCCGAACCACATCGCTCCTTGCGGGAGATATTGACGTATTGGTTTCGCTGAGTTATAGTTGCAGCTCATTCAGAAATTTATTTTGTGCATAAAACTCTCCATTCTGGAAATGATCCAGTCAGTGACAATGACGGCAGTTTTTGGGGCAGAATGCTTAAAAATGGTTGGGATGGGAGCTTCAATCATGTAGGATAGAAAACTATCCCATTCACAGCAAAAAATCGTTCTATGGAACGATGCATCAGGGGATGCCTTAGGTTTGGCATCAATCTGGATACTGATTAGAGAATGGTATGTCGTGCTTAATGGTTTTAAAACGTTTGCTAAGCATTTGTCAGAGCAGGAATTTAATGAGAGATCGAGGAGGTTTGCCTGATGTCCCGTCGCGTCCGGGGACACGGTTATGTTCTTCGGCTGTCTTAATGTATGTGGTAAATTTGATCTATTTTTGATATTTTTTCTTTCACCTTACTATATGCATTTATTTTATTTCCTATTATTTTTTCTTTCTTTCTGTTTTAAATTTCCTCTTAACATTTAGTACAGCATTTGTACCTATATATATATATATATATATATATATATATATATATATATATATATATATATTTGTGTGTGTGAAAAGTGTATATAAATATAAATAAACATAAGTATGTATAATTATTTATATATTATATGCGCAGTACTTATTAGAAAGCGCTCAATATCAGAGATAGAGCTAACATATTTGGTTGGATAGATGTGAGTTACACAAACCCCACCACACGCATATACATACATGCGAGGAAATATTTTTCAGCTGGAAAACACTTAATATGACATGTATACAGTAACGAGATATTTCCGCCACACTTCTAATGTTTAAATTTCAACATTTCAACATACAAATGCGTATGTATAGATATAACACCACCCGTATACATACATGTGTCATAGCCGAAACTGCCCACATATGTTTATATATGTATGAGTCCCGACAGACGACCAAGTATGTATATGTGTTTGCATACATCGATGTTTGCGTTAGTACGATGAATGACAAAACGACGAAATTTCCCCCACCACTTCCACAATAACACCAATACACGCAATCTACATAAACCCAAATTTTTTAAAACATTAATCAGTTTGTCTGACGATCGCTAAAGCGTTAAACCCAGGGTCACAAACTCACATCTATCCAAAAATATATATATATATATATATATATATATATATATATATATATATATATATATATATATATATATATATGTGTGTGTGAAAAGTGTATATAAATATAAATAAATATATATATATAATTATTTATATATTATATACGCGGTACTTATTAGAAAGCGCTCAATATCAGAGATAGAACTAACATATTTGGTTGGATAGATGTGAGTTTGTGACCTGGGTTTCACGCTTTAGTGATCCTCAGCAGGGTCACAAACTCACATCTATCCAAACAAATATATATATATATATATATATATATATATATATATATATATATATAGTAAAAGGCAAAAATGGACGCACCATAGAAATGATGATAAACAAAATATAAACCTTATTACATTTATATTTACATTTATTAACATGCCTAAGCATTGTTCTGACTTTGAGAAAGGCCAAGTCACCGTTTTTTCATGATCTTGGGCTGGCGAATAGATCGATAGCTGATAAGATTAATCGAAGTGAGTCATGTGTTCGCAAGTTAATCAAAAAGAGAAGTCAAATTGGAACATATAATAGACGTAGCAGATCTGACCAACCGCTAAAATCTACCGACAGCGAAGAGAGAAATTTGGTTCGTCAATGCAAAAAAGATCGATTTGCAACAGCACAAGATGTTTCCAAAGCGGCTACTTTGGCGGTTTCTTCAAGAACAGTTAGATGCAGACTTAAAGCAAAAGGCATTGTTTCCAAATACATAAAAAAGAAACCTTTCGTATCAGGAAAAAAACGACGGGCACGTTGGTTGGCTTGGTGCAAAACTTATTTACACTGGACTAAATCTGACTGGGAAGATGTTATGTAGAGTGAAGAGAGCCCCTTTACTCTTAGGAAAGGCGAATACGAGTTTGGTGTACGCCCGGTGAAACGAATACTCCAGTGACTAACACTGTTAAACACGATAAACAAATCAACATTTGGGGTGAATTCTTAGAAGCAGGATTTGGTAATTTGTACAAAATCAAGAGAATCATGGACAAGCATCAATACCACATCATTCAAAGAAATCTGTTACTCATTTGTCATGGTAAAAATACAAAAATCGACTTTCTATGCGTGTGTCCATTTTTTTTGCTTCGTATATTTATATATATATATATATATATATATATATATTAAAAAGAAGAACAGACCACTTTAAGGCTCCATTGTAATAGTTTATTTCACCAGAGACCTTTTAAACTATTACAATGGAGCCATAAAGTGGTTTGTTTTTCTTTAAATTATTAGCTCTGAATTTACATTGAGCTCTCAGGATTTCATCCACCTTGGGACTACCTATACGGATTACCAAGTTTTTCGTAACTATATATATATATATATATATATATATATATATATATATATATATATATATATATATATTATATATATATATATATATATGGCATGCAAGAACATAATAATTTACTTTCGCATTAATTTATTGTTAATTCTGGAGTATGCTACACTTTATGGAAGTCTTTCGACCATTGAGTTTGTCTTTACGCCATTCCAAGAAGATAATGTCAGGAAAGACTTCTTTCATATTACCACCAATAAATATTTATAGCAAAATTACCAAAAATACATCAAAAGTCAGGTTAGATCCAAAATGGCGTATTGCTGTTAGATCTGTGCTAGACCTATTCGATCCTCACTTTCTAGACTTGATATTTCAAGATCGTTTTTCTATTCTTTACTCTAGTTTATAAATCCTTGTTGCAAAATAAAATCTTTACATTTGCCTTGATAAAGACCATCAGAGAACAAACCCCATCGGCTAATAAAAGTTTTTCTACATTCATATTGTCCTTTTAAAGATATGTATTTTATTGATTTTAGTTATATACGAAATCTTACACACACGCGCGCGCGTACGCACACACACACACACATATATATGATAAAATGTAGCGTTAAGGTATACTATATTATGGGCTAAAGTGCTCAATATCAAGTATATAGCGTATGTAAATATAAAGAGGACATTGAAGTCAACACTTAAAGGCAACATTCTGTTTCATACTAAGCACAATCGTCAGGCCATGAAACAGACTGTTGCCTATCGGTATTGACTTCAATGTCCCCCCCCATATATATATATATATATATATATATATATATATATATATATATACTAGTGAGCCAAACAAACCTCATGTAAGGCCTTACTTTCCCTGTCTGGCTCACTAGGTGTATCTAGGTCTGCTCTACGGTTGTATTGAGCTCTTTTTTTAGTTAGTTGTTACTCGTATCGGGTTTTTTTCTTTGGGCTTCAGACCTGCATCTGTGCGATTTTTTGTCGGCAGAAGTTCATGTTTGTAGCTCTTTCTTTTTTAAAACCTTTTTTTCCCTCGAGATTGATTTGATTATTAACAAATCAAAAATTCGAGGGTTTTTTCGAAACGAGTCTAGTTATCTATATATATATATATATATATATATATATATATATATATATATTTGAATCAGACCAAGAAACTCTAGTATTAAAAAGAACTCAATACACGCATGAAAAAAAAAATCAAATAAAATGAAAAATAACGCGTAGAGCTTTTAACTTTAAAAATCAGGAGGTCAATTGAATACGTGACTTTGGTTTCGACCTCACGGTGTCATCAGGCAATATTTTTCAAATAACCACCTTAATGCTTTAGTAAAGAAAAAAAACAAACAAAAAAAAAGCCCTAAGGACGCTACATTATTATTTAAAAAAAATAAATAAACAGGCGCATGACGGTAGAAAGACATGACTATGCAATAGAAAGGAAGCGGGTATGGAGAAGAAAGAAGAAGAAAAAAAAAGAAGAGTGAAGAAAAGAAAAGAAAGAAATGGGAATATAAGTGTATTGTAAATGTATGCAGAAAAAGAAGAAAAGCAAATGTAATGTAAATGTAAGGAAGTAGGGGTTTTTTTTTATCCGGCCTCATATTCTCTTAATAAAAATTTTCTGATATGAAGGCAAGGACTTAAAATTTTGGAATTTTGGTTTAAAATATTTTTATAAAAATGGACATGGGAGTCAACATCCAAAGTCGACAGTCTTTTTCATGTCTGAAGATTGCGTTCAATCATGACACAGTCTTTTGCTATTTGGTGTTAACCTCAATGTCTACTTATCTATCTATCTATCTATCTATCTATCTATATATATATATATATGTAAGCAAATATTTAAATGATGCTTATATTTTTAACAAAGGCTTTTTTTTAAGTTTGTATAAAATTTTTTGTTATCGATAGATATATTTTGAATATTTTTTCATACATTTTGAATAAATGCATTTATGTTTTCAAAAAAGTTGCTTGTGTTTAAATAAAATGGATTTGTCTTTGAATAAACGCATATTTTAAATGAATGTTCTTAAGTTTCGAGCAAATCCATATCGTTTGAATAAATATATATTCCGAGTAATAGTATTGAATAAATTTATCTATTTTAATCAAGAGTACTTATGGCATGAATAATGTTAGGTATACGTTTGATTTTTAAAAGACTCAGTATAAGTCGGTCAGATCCGTATCTGCAGAGTTACCTACCTTTAATCCATTAGCTGCCATGTAGGTACGGTATATCAACAAACCTGTCCAGGGAAACTGGCAGATAAGGAAAACGATAACAACATTAATCAGCATAATCGTTATCCTGTTCTGCTCGCTACCCTGATGCTGAACCTGACCCGTAACATTTGAGTTAGCGAGCGACCGCCTGATGATTGATGCTTTCCACACGATTCGGATAAGCAGGCTGTTGAAGACAGACAGGAGCACCATGGGAATGAACGTAAAGAATGAGATAAACCACCAATAGTAGCCGATCTGATAGCTGTCCGTCTTGGCGAATTCGGTGTCGATACAGACGAATGTGACGATGGTGCGGTTCGAGTGGGACAGCTGCTTCTCGACAATGTCCATCTCGAAAAGTTCAGGGCTAGTGTTGATCAAGCAGACAACAAAAACTAAACATGATATCAACTTGGCTTTGCGCACCGTGCACCACACCCGACCCTTCATCGGATAGCGTACTCCAACGTATCGCTCGACGGTAAAGGAAACGGTTAACCAAACGGCGATGTTGCCAAAAAGATCGGCAAGCACTCGGGCGTAAGGAATATAATAGAAAGCGAATTTAGGCTGTGTTCGGTAAGAACAATGAACAAAGCTGAGGGTGACACTGAAGAACAGGTAAAGGAGGTCACAAACGGACAATGCGATCAAATAAACGTTAGTCGAACTCTGCATTCTGCGACGGCTGAGGACAATAATGCTCAGGGTGTTGCCGAGGAAACCAATGGCGGACACAGTCGGGCTGAGGATTTTCTGAACAATGAAACGTGTGATTTCCAAGGCTTCTTTCCCGGCATAATTCGCAGAAACTAGACCGCCTGGGTCCCCGCCTCCAAATGTTGTATTTGTAGTCGTCTCGACGCTACTGGTGTCCATGTTTAGGGTCAAGTTGATAGGTAAACCAATGTTCTCTTCGGAGTAGAATCTGTCGACGTAAGTCGCCATCATTTGCCAAAAGTTCGTCTTCTGTCGAAAAAAAAATAGAAAAAAATATTAGGATATATTCAAGAACATATTTGTAGATTCGTATGCAAACTAGATAGACCATTATAAATAGAGAACAACTGGCGAACATGGGTAGGGGTTATGCCTAGCAAACCCGGTTACTATTCAGAACACGGAGAATTGTACTACGACTACTACTACGCAGAGAGATATGTAAAGCATAATAATGGCGTCGCCGATAGGATCCATAAATAATAATAAAACGAGTCCTTCGGTATTAACGGGAAAACAAATCAGAGTCCCTATAACTATGTCCTTTGCAACGAAAGAAAAGGTATGGTATAGAAAGAATAAAGAAGCTAATCCAGAAGAAGCAAATTTCTTGATACAAAACGGGCACAACACGGCTGTAGTTGAGAAAAAGAGACAACATATACTGGTACATGCAGATCAGTTCAGAAGCAGAAACAAAATGGATGACATAAAAATGGAAGATCAAGAACAAGAAGAGACAGAACGTTACAAAAGTGCAACAGCGCAGGAAATGGAAGAAAGTGAGAATAAAAGAGAGACGAGTATGAAGAAGAAAATGAAGAGAGAGTGAGATCACCATTAAAGAGAAAACAAGAATTACGAGAGGAAGGACAACACAATACAAAAATAATCAGGAATAGTAAAAGAAAAAAACAAAGGGTATACGACCTCTCCGATTCAGGGAGGTGTATTATCCTATGCAAATTAGACCAGTATAAATAGAGAACAACTGGCGAACATGGAGTGGGGGCTATGCCTAGCAAACCCGGTTGCTATTCAGGACACGGAGAACTGTACTATGACTACAATTACGCAGAGAGATATGCAAAACAGAACAGTATTTAAACACATTTTTTTTAGTCATGATTCTCTCTATATATTTCTTAATACAAACGTTATATTTAGCGGTTACACATGTTTGAGTTTATATAAATAAAAAAAACCCCAAAAAACCAATGAAATTAATACCAACCAGCCAAGATCAACAACCCCCATTAAAGAAAAATGTTTATCCCAACAGGAATCAAAACTATAATCTTATTTTTACATCAGGGAAGCTATTCCTATATACGAAATATACGTCCAAGTTAGACTGTCATTATAAGGAAAGGCTCCATTGCATACTTAAAGCATATCCACGTTTCTATAGGACTTTTCGAATTTATGTCAGATGGCTTTATTTTCGTATTCGAAACGAAAACATAATTTAAAAAATCTGGCATTATTTCTTACGAAAGAAATTATGTTAACTAAAAAAAAATAAAAAATAAAAATTCTAGTATTACAACATCGTTCAAACTGTCGAAATCTAGGAACTTGCTAGCTATGGTGCCCTTCTAAACGTAGCTAAGATGTGACACAAGGCTGAAAGCATGATACACCCAGTGAGGATCGAACTTACTACTCAGTCGTAATTGTTCTACCGAGATAAGCTTGTTAACTATTACTCCACATCGAGGTGTCCCAGCTTGCTGGCTATGTATGGGACACCGTGAAGAAAACCCGTGCATTTATTTTAGAGAATAGAATCTGCTAGTTGTGTTAGGAGGAAAAGTTGGAGATAATGAAATATCCTGATCAACGTAAGTTACCAAATAAGTGATCGGAGGTGATGACGGCGTGAAAGTATATGGGAAAGTCTTACTTACTACCTTAAGGGAGTGTTGAATGCAGATTGTTGAGAAGTTCTTATAATAATATTTGAAAAAACCAAGAACTACGAGAAGGCTTTCTGTAAGAAACAGCTTAAAACTAATTTAGGTTTATAAAGTTTAACCATCTGAAAAGGGTAGCCCCCCAAAAAAAAAAAAATATAATGTTGTTCAGCCCCACTTCCACTTTGAGGTGAAAACGAAAATTGGTAAGACTTAAACAAACATTTCCCAAATAACTCCATGTTATATAGTGTTTTCAATAGAAATATCGTAAAAATTACTTGTAGCTGTATGTAAAATATGGAGAAATAATTAAAGGGTACAAGAAGAAAAAATTGGGCATGGATATAACGACGGCGGGAAAAAAGGCATCCGAGAAAAATGTAACTGGTGGGATGTGGTAAAGGTGTCCATTAAAAGGTAACTATCAGGTGAAAGGACTTGAGCAAGGGTGGAGCTAGAAAATGACCCTTAATAAGTGTATATTAGATACAAAGAAGTAACGTTCAAATCGTGTTATTACAATATAATTTAAACCGGCAAAATAGCAAACAACTTGCTAGCCATGTATGGGAAGTAAAAAAGGGACATAGTGAAGAAAACTTGTATATTTATTTTAGGAAATAGAATGTCTATGTTGCGCCAGGAGAAAAGATTGGCGATAAGGAAATATCCTAGTCAGGGTAAGTTACTAAATGAAATATCATAGATGATGAAGGCGTTTTAGCATGTTAGAAAATTCCTCCCCGCAAATTAAGATTAGGAGAAGAAATACTTATAAGGCATTTCCTTTTTCCCTCCCTCAAAAGTAGAAGGTGAGACGGAATGTTTAATTTGTTGCCTGAAATAGTCAAAAGTGGAAAGGTTGGATTTACCTTTTAAAAAATCTTAGATTGCTGTGTATTTTTGTTATAAGAATTTCCATTGAAGATTTTTTATTTATATAAACATTTTTGGGAAATAGTTAATTCATCATGTAAAAAAAAATTGAACTATATATATGTATATATATACTGTATACTATAGCTGGCCACTCGTATTTGTGAATACTCGTCTAATAGGGTGGTTAGCCAATTCCTATTGCAGACGCTTTCTCAAGCACATTTGGGTGGTTTACACTGCATCTATGCTGAGCACACTATAGTTGCAGTTTCTGTCAAAGAGCGTGTTATCTAGCGTGATCAACAATCTGATCAAGGCCAGCACACTCAAACGCTCGGTCACGATGACTTGTTATTTCGTACTAGCACAACTATCAACGGCCCCCAATTTCAATTAAAAAGCTTAGGTCAACTTGTGGAATGGTTTTTAGGCACGTTTCCAAGGTGCCGTAGGCTCCAGACCGATAACATCAGGAAGCTCGACAAATTCGAACCCGGCTCTCATGGTCAGAACGTTCTAACCACCCGGCCACGTGCTCATATACTATCTATCTATCTATCTATCTATCTATCTATCTATCTATCTATCTCTCTCTCTATCATATATATATATATATATATATATATATATATATATAGGCCATTCTCTCTCCTTCTCTTTCTCTCTCTCTCTCTATATATATATATATATATATAGAGAGAGAGAGAGAGAGAGAGAGAGAGAGTAGAGAGAATCGGCCTATATATGTATATATATATATATATATATATATATATATATATATATATAAATAGTGTATTGGGGCAGCAGATCATTATTTAAACATATATTGTTAAATATAACAGACAATTTATGTTGATTATGTTTGATCATGAGCCGTCCTAAACTCTGTATATTTGACTTAATTTCAGGTGAAAATAAAGACAAAAATAACGGTCACAACACATTACATTGCATCTAGACATCTAGGATTCTGTTGTTAATATTTCGGTCTCTGGCGTGGTACGACGTCATGGAACCACATCATGAATGTACGACCTGCGTCTGGTATTCCGTGACCGTTATCGTCGCATAGCAATCTTTTAAGTCAGCATAAAAGAATACCATCTTTGATGGTGAATATCTTTGTTTAAATGTTCGCATAAGCACTCTGAAGATGGGTCATGTAAGCCGAAAACTTAGATCAAGGAACAGCTTAATAAAAAACGTTCAAATGTTGGACAGTTTTTGTCTTTATTTTCACCCGAAATTAAAGCAAATATATGAAGTTTAGAACGGCTCATGATCAAACATAACAGACATTCGTTGTCGGTTATATTTAACACTATATATATATATAGAGAGAGAGAGAGGGATTATGATTCCAATATATATATATATATATATTACGATTCCAATGTAATAAATTATAACCATGGAATATTAGGGTTTGAGCCTTTTATATTATATTCTTGCTCTCTCTTGGACATTGAGCTGTACCTGGATTCTAATCCTTTTATATATATATATATATATATATATATAAATTTTAAGACATTTTTATTTTTTTTTCACAGAAAATATTCGTCCTCCGACAGGATTCGAACCTGTATCCGATATGGAACCGTCATTTAACTTGACGTGCCTTTACCGATTTGGCCACAGAGGCACGTTCGGTTAGCAAGGTCGAATTTACTGTATTTAAACTTCAATCTTTCATGAATCTCTCACGTAAATGACGGTTCCGTATAGGATACAGGTTCGAATCCTGTCGGAGGACGAATATTTTCTGTGAAAATTTCTCGGACATTCAGGCCGGTAAATGTTGTTTAATACTGTTTATTATAAACAGAGCATTTACTTAAATATTTGTATCTATAAAAAAGAATGTATAAACATAAAAAATGTATTAAAATAATTGTCGCACTTTCTCCATTTCATAATATATATATATATATATATATATATATATATATATATATATATATATATATATATATACTAATATATATATATATATATATATATATATATATATATATATATATATATATATATATATATATATATATATATATTACGATTCCAATGTAATAAATTATAACCATGGAATATTAGGGTTTGTTTTATATTCTTGAAATGAAATAAATTCTAAGACTAGGAAGAAATCAATAAAAATTGTTTTTTCAACAGCCAGGTCACTTTTCTATCTCGTCACTTTTTCAGCATAAAGACACATTTATCAATCAAGAAGCTGCATCTAACTAGGTACTGGTCCAAGGCACTGTTTCAATATCTTGTTAAGTCGTGTTAGTTAGTAGGTAACAAGTCAGGAAAATCCATCAAAAGGAAAAGGATGAGGGATGTCATACTGCAAATTTACTGATCGGCCTCATTGTTCCAAAATAACTCTCCTCTTCCAATAAGCAATTCAAATGAGCCAATTACTCGTTGAAGTACTGCACGATAAGAGTTTGTTAAGATAGCAGTGATTCGTAATCTAGAATTACCGTTCGTTTTATCCGCACATGCACAATAATTTCTCTCTGATTGGTTTCAAGTAATATCAAGGCGACATAACCGTTTCTCGAGATATTCATTTGAACAGACAGTATATATATGTCAGTAAAACGACGTTTTTTTATAATCCATTTTAAATATATATTATTCACTTTGTAAATATTCAACAGTTTCCAGATTCTTTTCATTGCTTCAGAATTTTCTGAATGATTCCATTTTTTTTTGTTTACCAAGAAAGTTTATATCATATTTGCAAATATTTCTAACAAAACTGAAAACAGATTCATACGAAGAAATCTAATAACCTTTTGGGGAAAACGCTGTATACCTGAAGGAAATAAGAAATACAAAACAGACATTGTGGTTTGCTTCGTGGCTGAGATAGGTGTAACACTCATACCAATGTCAGAAGACGACGTTTGATTCCAGGTCAAACCAGGATTTACATTGCAGATTTCCAAGACAGTCAGCTAGATAGACATTCCCCACAAAACAATTACTGTGATATCACACTAATTGCATCTTAGGCTTATGGCATTGTGGTTAGAACATTTGCGTTCCTGTCCTGAGGTTAGTATTCTTCATGGTCATTCATTAAGGAGGTGGCATTTTGACAATAATGATTTGGAACGAGTTCCCATCATGCAATTGCGGGAAAAACCACACCAGCGGTTATCTAACACACGTAAACATAATTGCATAGGTGAAATTGTTCGGAGGACGTTGATAGATTCACAAAGCAACTAGTTCTTGTGACTGAGAGTTTAAGAGTACTGTTGCAATATAAATGAAAGATTTACTATGTGGATGTTAAAAAAACACACCTGTATTTGAACGGAAAATTGAATAGCCACCCAAACTGTCGGGCATACTCCTAAATGAGATGACAACAGTTATAATTATATTCAGATACAAGGAGTGTTTTATAGAGATGGATTATTCTAACAATATTTGACATAAGGAAGACGTAACTCTTATCCGATACAGACAATGTGATATAAGGAAGACGTAACTCTTATCCGATAAAGACAATGTGATATAAGGAAGACGTAACTCTTATCCGATACAGACGATGTGATATGAGGAAGACGTAACTCTTATCCGATACAGACAATGTGATATAAGTAAGAAGTAACTCTTATCCGATACAGACGATGTGATATGAGGAAGGCGTAACTCTTATCCGATAAAGACAATGTGATATAAGGAAGACGTAACTCTTATCCGATAAAGACAATGTGATATAAGTAAGAAGTAACTCTTATCCGATACAGACGATGTGATATGAGGAAGACGTAACTCTTATCCGATACAAACAATGTGATATAAAGAAGACGTAACTCTTATCCGATACAGACGATGCCATATAAGGAAGACGTAACTCTTGGTCCATACAGACAATGTGATATAAGGAAGATCTAACTCTTGTCCGATACAGACGATGCAATATAAGGAAGACGCAACTCTTGTTCGATACAGACAATGTCTTATACGGAAGACGTAACTCTTATCCGTTACAGACGTAACTAATAAGATGTAAATAATGAAGACTTCTGCAATGCAGACAGTTTGATATAAGGAAGACGTAACACTTCGATAGAGAAAATTTGAAATAAGGAAGACGTAAAAGTTGTTCCATACAAACGATATAATATGAGAAAGACGTAGCTCATTTTAAATACAGACGATGTGATAAAAGGATCACTCAACACTTGTTCGATACAAATGATGTCATATAAGGAAGACGGAATTCTTGTTCGATACGGACCAACAGACACAAGAAAGACGAAATACTTGTACGATACAGACGATTTGATATAAAGAAGGCGTAACGCCTGTTCGATAAGGAGAATTTATTATAAGGAAGACGCGACTCTTGTTCGATACAGACAATGTGATATAAGGAAGACGTAAATCATGTCCAATGAGACGATTTAAATAAAGAAGACGTAACACTTGTTGGATATTGAAGGTTTTATATAAGGAAGCAATAAACCTTGTTCGATAAGAAAATTTGTTTGTTGGGAAGACCTAACACTTATTCGATAGAGATTATTTGAAATATGGAAGACGTAACTTCGATAGAGACGATTTGAAAATAAGGAAGACATAACACGTTTTCGACGCAAAAAATTGATATAAGGAAGATGTAACACTTGTCCGATATATAGGATTTGAAATAACTCTTGTTCGATAAAAACGATGTGATATAAAGAAGATGATTTTTTGTCAGATTGGGACGATTTGAAATAAGGAAGACGTAAATCATATTCGATACAGAGGATTTGATATTATTAAGACGTAACTTCTGCTCAATACAGACGATTTAATATAAGGAGACGTAACTCGTGGTCGATACAGATGATTTAATATTTACGAACATGTAACGATTGTTCGATACCGAAGATGTGATTTAAGGAAGATATAGTACTAGTTAGATAAAGACGATAGAACTATCGAAAACTTATATCTTGTTCCATTCAGAAGATATGATAAAAAATGAAGACAGAATTCTTTGATAGAGGCAATTGGATATAAGGATGTTGAATTTCTAGGCCGATATATACGATTTGAAATAAAGAAGAGGTAACAATTTTTCGATAAAGACGATATGATATAGGGAAGACGATGTGTTATTAAGCAAAAATAAAATTTTCACGATGCAGATAATTTGAAACAAGAAAGAGATAACAGTTGTTCGATACAGAGGATTTGAAATTAGAAAGACGCAAGATATGTCCCATACAGACGATTTTTATAAGGAATATGTAACTAATTCGATACAGACGATTTGAATAATGAAGAGGTAATTCTTATTCGAGTCAGACGTTTTAAATAAGGAAGATGTAATTATTGTTTGGTACATATGGTTTAAATAAGGAAGACATAACTCTTTTAGATACAGAGGTTTTATATCAGGAAGGTGAAAATACAGATTATTTTAAATAAATTATTTTAAAAAAATGACTGAACTATTGTGCGACAGAGATGATTTGAAACACTCAAGACATAACTATTGTTCGATACAAAGAATTTAAATAATGAGACATAAATCTTAATTGATACAAATGAGCTGAAATAAGGAAAACGTAACACTTGTACGATACAGACGATTTAAATAGGGAAGACATAACACTTGATCAATACAGAAGATTTGAAATAAAGAAGACGTAACACTTGATCAATACAGAAGATTTGAAATAAAGAAGACGTAACTCTTGTTCGATACAGACGATTTAAATAGGGAAGACGTAACACTTGATCAATACTGATTTGAAATAAAGAAGATGTAACACTTGATCAATACAGAAGATTTGAAATAAGGAAGACGTAATACTTGTCAGATAAAGACGATTTAAATATGGAGGACGTAACACTTGATCAATACAGAAGATTTGAAATAAGGAAGACGTAATACTTGATCAATACAGAAGATTTGAAATAAGGAAGACGTAACTTTTGTTCGATACAGTCGATTTAAATAGGGAAGACGTAACTCTTGATCAATAAAGAAGATTTGAAATTAGGAAGACGCAACTCTTGTTCGATACAGACGATTTAAATAAGTAAGACGTAACTCTTGATCACTACAAAATATTTGAAATAAGGAAGACGTAACTTTTGTTAGATACAAACGATTTAAATAGGGACGACGTACAATTGATCGATACAGACGATTTAAATAGGGAAGACGTAACACTTGATCAATACAGAAGATTTGAAATTAGGAAGACGTAACTCTTGTTCGATACAGAGCAACAAACATAAGAAAGACAAATCATTTCTACAATAGAGATGATTTGATATGAAGAAGACGTAACGCTTGTTCAAGAAGGAGAGTTTATTATAAGCAAGACGTCACTCTTGTTTGATACAGACAATGTGATGTAAGGAAGATGCAAATCATGTCTAATGAGACAAATTAAATAAGGAAGAAGTAACACTTGTTGGATACTGAAGGCTTTATATAAGGAAGCGATAAACCTTGTTCGATACAGAAAATTTGTTTGTGAGGAAGACGTAATACTTATTCGATACAAATTATGTGATATATGTTACACTTGTTCGATAGAGACGATTTGAAAATGTTGAGGGGTTCTCCACTTTTTACATAAATGGACTCACCCAGTCTATACTTATACTACTGCCAGTGAATACCCGAGAGCAAGACCGAAGAGTCGAGTCCAGAGTAACTCTTGGTCGATACAGACGATTTAATATTTAAGAAAATGTAACGATTGTTCGATACCGAAGATGTGATTTAAGGAAGATATAGTACTAGTTAGATAAAGACGATAGAACTATCGAAAAATTATCTTGTTCCATACAGAAGATGTGAAAAAAGACAGAATTCTTCGATAGAGGCAATTGGATATAAGGATGTTGAATTTCTCGGCCGATAGATATGATTTGAAATAAAGAAGAGGTAACAATTTTTCGATACAGATAATATAATGGGAAGACGTATGTTATGTGTTATACAGACGATGTATTATAAAGCCGAAATAACATTTGTACGATACAGCTTTTTTAAAACAAGAAAGACATAACAGCTGTTCGTTACAGAGGATTTGAAATTTGGAAAACGCAAGACGATGTTTATAAGGAAGATGTAACTTTAATTCGATACAGACGATTTAAATCATAGAGACGTAATTCTAGTTCGAGTCAGACGATTTAAATAAGGAAGATGTAATTATTGTTTGGTACATATGATTTAAATAAGGAAGACATTACTCTTTTAGATACAGCCGTCTTAAATAAGGAAGAAGAAAATTTTGTTAGATACTGATTATTTAAAAAAATGAGTGAACTATTGTGCGATGGAGATGATTTGAAACACTCAAGACAACTATTGTTCAATAAAAAGAATTTAAATAGGGGAGATTTAAATCTTAATTGAGACAGATGAGTTGAAATAAGGAAAACGTAACTCTTGTACGATACAGACGATTTAAAAAAGCAATACGTGACACTTGATTAATACAGAAGATTTGAAATAAGGAAGACGTAAGTCTTGTTCGATACAGACGATTTAAATAGGGAAGACGTAACTCTTGATCAATACAGATGATTTGAAATAAGGAAGACGTAACACTTTTAGAAACGGATGATTTAATTAGGGAAGACGTAACACTTGATCAATACAGAAGATTTGAAATGAGGAAGACGTAACTCTTGTTCGATACAGACGATTTAAATATGGAAGACGTAACACTTGATCAATACAGACTATTTTAAATAAAGAAGATGTAACTCTTGTTCGAAACAGACGATTTGAATAGGGAAGACGTAACAATTGTTCGATTTAGAATGTTTGAAATAAGAATGACGTAAATCATTTTCGATACAGAAGATTTGATATAAAGAAGGCATTAACCTTCTTCGATAAAGATGATTTAATAAGTAAGACGTAATTTTTGTTCGATACAGATGACTTAAATAAGATATACGTAACAATTGATATATGGAAGACGTAACTCTTGCCGTTAGACACGATTTAAATTAGGAAGATGTAACTCTTGTTAGATACAGACTATTGCATATAAGGAAGACGAAGTCCTTGTTCGATACAAACGATTTAATATAATGGAGATGTAATCCTATTTCAATAGAGACGATTTATTATAAGGAAGATGTAACATTTGTTCGATAATGACGATTGGAAATATGATGAGATAACTCATGTTCGATACAGATGATTTGAAATAAGGTAGATGTAACACTTTCACAATACAGATGATTTAAATAAGTAAGGCGTAACACTTGTTCAATACAGACGATTTGAAATAAGGAAGACGTAAATCTTGTTAGATAAGGAGGATTTGATAAATAAAGATGTAACTGTTGTCCGATACAAACGATTTGAAATAATCCAGAAGTACCACTTGTTCGATTGAGACGATTTGAAATAAGGAAGACATAACTCTTTCCGATACAGAGACGTAAATCCTCTTTGATAGTGAAGATTTAATAGAAGGAAAACGCTTCAGATTGATACAGACAATTCGATATAAAGGAGGTGAAAAGCGATACAGAAGTTTTGATATGAGGCAGACGTAACTCTTGTTCGATACAGACGATCTGATATAAGGAAGACGTAAAACTTGATCGATACAGAGGTCTTGAATTAAGGAATACGTAACTCTCTTACGATTGAAGGCGTTTTGGTATAAGGAAGGCGTAAATCTTTTTCGATACGGCGCATTTAATCAATGGAGGCGAAGGTCTTGTTCCATGCCGATGATTTGAAATATGGAAAACGTAACACTTGTACAATACAGAAGATTTGAAGTAAGGAAGACGTAACTCTTGTTCGATACAGACGATTTAAATATGACGAAGATGACGTAACAAACATTTAAGTGTTCCAAAGGTCAATACAGACGATATTTTAAATAAATATATATATATATACGAAAAATCTTGTCTGATACAGACGATCGTGACGCTTATTGGATGAGGATCCATCGATAACA